CTGCCTCAGTTCAGCCCCTGAACGTGATTACACTTCCGACATGACTGAGAGGTGAAGAGAGAAGAAGTGAGAGACTGATAATTGACTTGGAAAAACAACAAGGGCAGAAAACCACATTAAACACTGATGGAAAACAAAAAACAACAAATGTGTAGACACACAGCATAGATATAGAACCCTTTGGCCACCATATTATAATTAACATTTATATTATGCATCTCATTTACTTAGCAGAGGTAAAGAGGAGGAAAACACACAATGTCACCCAGACTGTCAGCCTGATCTTTCAGCAGAGAGGCATGCAGACACACACATGAACAGAGTGCAACGGCCATCTCATTTCTTCAGACAAGTGACATTTTCCTCTCTCTCCTTTTTCAGTTTCTCCTTCTCTACTCCGTCACTGTGGTGACAAAATTAGCATTCTTTGTCTTCCTCTGCTTCTCTCCTCCCTCGATGCCCGGACAAGAGGTGAGGACCACAGGGACAGAAGAACGAAGACATAAAGAGGGAAAAGAAGAAAGATGGGAATAAAAAGACATTAAGAGAGAGAAAAGAAAAGAAAAATGCCTGTGAGATGTGGAGACAACAAACAAACAGGAGAGCTGAGAGTGATACACAGAGGCAGACCAGAAGAAGCAGGAAAACCTAAAAGAAAAAAATCATGTTGTGGAAAAGATGGAGACTTGGGGAGAGAGTAAATGAGGGGGAGAAATATTCCCTTAAGGGATTCATATCACCATGACAACCCCCTTCTTTCTCCTTTGCTGTCCGGTTGCACAGTGAACTCCTGGATACTTTGGCAAACCAGCTAATAGTCGTGGTGAATTAACTTGCAATAAGAAGTTCCAACGTCCTTTAAATAAGATCATTTTTATTCACGAACCATAAATTAACATCTAGGTATTTGCCTTGTCTGAGTGTGCCATGTGCATGTAAGGAGATGCATAAAACAGGATTCATGAGGATAAAGTAGTCGTATTATAAACCAGAGACAAAGCCTTGCTTGCCACTACAGCAAGAACTTTATATTGAGCAAAAAAAATGTGGATGTGAGACAGAAAAATAAAAATGACCTTAAAAAAAAAAACTTGAGATGGGAAAGACAAAATCGAAGACAGGATGGAGGGAGATGGAATGAATTCGATTATGCCAAACAGAAAGTAGTGATGCAAAGAACGGGGGGGGGGGACGAAGTGAGAGAAAAAGCAATAGGGAAGCAATACTGGACAGAGCTGATTGTGGGGGTGGACCGGAGGGACAGAGAAAAAGCAAAGGAGCGGGATGAAGAGAGAAAAAGAAGGAACAGAAGATTTCTAATCAGAACTCTGAAGAAAAATAATAAGGCTGCCTGACAGCAAACGTCAGCTCAGAGAGGGGAGGCGATTGAGAGAGGAACAGGGGACGACAGAGGGACTAAAAAAAAAAAATGGAGAGAAAGGTAAGGTAAAGAATAAAGAACAAAAAGAAAGAAAATCTATGCAAAAGCTTTAGTTGTACTGATGGAGACACTTCCCTATTGGTGCTCCCCCCACTAAGAGGTAATACAATCTTTGAGATGCTAAGAGGCAACACATCACCAGGAAAGAAAAAAATAATATTCCCCATCTCCCACTGCAGGGAAAAGGATCTGCCAGGTCAGGCAGGTGAATCCTCATATGAGCGTGTTTTATGTGTGTGAGTATACTTGTGTGTAGCTGCACTAACATCAACTGACTGGCTGGGAAATGTTGCCCTTGAGTCAACCTTGGCTGCTGTTTCACTTAGTTCCAGAAAAAGGGGATTCATTTCTAATCAAAAACTAATTCCTTTTCTTTAGTGTTAAAAAATAAATAGATAAGAATCTTAATGCTTTTCTGATTTCTTGGACGTCTTTTAACTTAAGCCATTGAGTTCATCCTTTGTTATCCAAAGGAGGCACCAAAAAAAGCAAACCCACACACATAACTACAGTGAATGAAAGAGCCAACCCTTTCTAGAAGGATTTCTTTGACAATGATATTGAAATGATCAAATTATTCACATCATCTCAAAACAAAAGGGATAAACTAAATAAAATGCAGAACAATCAATGTAAATGAGCAGAATAACATTTTTAACAGCGAAATACATTTTTCATCTAATACTAGAGACCATCTATTTCAAAATCAAGATCTGGGAAAGAAAGATGTACAGCTACAAAAATGGCAGTCTACTCTTGCTGAGTAAAACTAAGAAAAGTCCAATGTAACACTTAGGTCAGTAATTTTGTTTTTTTTCTCTCTCTCTCGTATTATAGGCATTAAAGTTGGTCATTACTTGAAATTAATATGTACTTGAAAATGGACAAAAGAGATTAAGCTTGGCATTTCTACTCAGACAAAACTCCAGTGCAAGCAGAGATATTGCAAAACTCATTCAAATTCAACATGTGAGTCAACTCAATGCTACAATCATCCTGCTCTAATAAATGGGCACGGTGTCTGCCCTGCTTTCAAGAGTAACTCTGCCGCTGTATAATAGCTGATGGACTGCAATTGCAGAACTGCTGAAATGTTCCAGGTGTATTTTTCACTCTACAATTTTCCTTTCTCAAGCACAAGTAAGTCGATATTTAAATAACCCTCTGATAATAATTGTTTGATTCAGAGTGTACTGCAATGAGAAAATTTATGAGAACCAGCGCCGCATACAGAGCAGCAGAGGGTGAGCAGGGTCAGAATATACCTTTACAATCCCTACTGGAAATATCGCTCAAATTATAACTGAAGTACTGAATCAAAAGTGTCTCAACTTTGAAACCCATTTCAAGCCCTCCCTGGTGTCAAAAAGCCAGGCCAAAGTCAGCAGTGAATAAAATAATATATGCAAGATGTCAAGAAGAACATCAGCGATGTGAATATTAAAAAGAAATCAAACTTTAATGAATTAAACAGTTCTTTCCAGATAACCTTAGGTCAATGGGAAAAGCCTAAGGTCATTTAAAAGTAAAAACTCCATGTGTTTACTAAAGTGAAATGATATTTTGCATCACATCTGCTGAGGCAGTTCCACTCATTATAAACATATTTATTGTTATAAATATTATTATCCAGAATAGTCTGTTCTAAACTGCTGTGTCAGCTCTTGGAGCTGCGCTTCATCTGCTTAAGCAAATGAATCAAATTGTTTCTATTTCATGCAGCCGTTGGCTAGTTACTGGTTTCAAGGTTTTAAGTTAAACTCATTTGTACAGTTTAAAGGCTGTTTATTGAGAAAGTGCCAGACTGATTTTTTTTTTCTCTAATAGGAAGGAGCAGAGAGTAACATAGCGCTGCCGGTCAGCTGGCTGAAAAAAGGCCCCTTCACTTTCTGCTTAATTACACGGAAAAATGCGGAGAGGGTGTATTAGAAGAATCTAATATCATTGCCAAATTATATAGTTAATTAGATATTTGACAAAAATACACACACACACACCCACGCACACACACACACACACACAATTATTTCATCCAGCACAATTCTGCAGTTTCAGACTACCAAACTGGAGCAGCTGACCCAAGAAATCATAGCTGTTTAAACAATGAGCTGCTGCCAGTTAAAAATATATTCTGTTACTTGACAAAGAAAGTATGATGCAAAATTCCTAGAAACACTGAAGCTGAACACGTCTATCGTGTGACGCATTTGCAGGTCCTTGTTTACACCGTTTAGAAACAGATACTTTCTCAATTGAATCTAGAGCCTACATGTCCAGCATCACAAGCACATTTAGTTTACTGGGTTGCAATAAATTAACAACAAACATTACTATAGTGTTTCTGATCTTCATTAGAAAGAATCCTTTTGTTTTCCAAAAAACATTTTTCCACAGAAATTAATTTATATTTTAATAGAGATGTTTACAAAATTTGAGAATTAATACTGTCCCATTTCAGTATTATGAAAACACACATTTACAAAATGTCATTAAAATTCTATACTTTAAGAATTAAGAATCTTCACTGCTGTTTCATGAATCTTAGTTATCGGAAAAACTGAGAAATCACAATCATACTGTATAAGCAAAATTGAAAAAGACCATGAAAAAAAATTTCAAAACTAAAAAAAAAATCTTGACAACTGGGACAATCAATGCTCAAAATTTCCTAATTTTGTCGAATATTAGAAGCAATTTCTGGGTACAAATTTTACCAGATGACATTGTATGATCAACTAATTGTCTTGCATGTGATAAGAATTTAATTGAAATTCTAAGCAATCATATCTGATTTGACTCTGTTCGTAAAGTGGCATGAGACCTTTATTTATTTTTTGTAGTTAGGTGCAATACAAGCACAAATCGGATCACCAATACATCCTTTAAGTCCTTTTCAATTCATACAGAAAGATGCTCTTATCTGAAAAACTTCCACATGTACACCATAAACTCCAGTTTTGTCACCACTCTTAAATTGTGTTCCCCAGTAAGGACATCTTCCCAGTCACCTGCTCTCCCCCTCACTACACCTTGTGAGTAATGGCAGGAGCAAAGGACAGTGGCAGAGAGCCATAAAAGTGTAATTTGTTCCATTTTCCCGAGGAAACCAAATTCACTTTCTGTCTCGAATTACAATCTGTTAAGATTCAAATGGCCAGCATTGTAGACGGGGCATTACCGCCTACACTCTCTGCTAATGACCCTCAAACGGACCGCACACACACGTAGACGAGTGACGAGCAAGGACACGTAGTCATGAGCACACAAAGAAGCGTACAGATCAACACTTCCACAAGCACACAAAAACACACCGGTTCTCAAATTTGTGCCGTAATGGACATAGAAAGGGCAAAAAGGGGAAGAAACTGCAGAGAAAAGTACATTTCTCGGAATTAAACATAATGACTTCATAACTCAATTCTTCCTTCTGAAAAAAGGGCAATCTCAACTGCCCCATAAACCTCTTCACTCCTCTAAACGATTTATCCTCTAATGCTTGTGCTCTTTTCTTCCTCTCCATTCTTTCACCTCTTTTTGTAAATTTCCCAAACTCTGCTACCTTATCCATCTCTTTTGTGTCCTTGCGCACTTCCTTCGTGCCTGTTTCTCTCCTTCCCTCACTTGTTCGTCGGGTCTCTCTCTCTCTTCCCCACGCTCATCTACCCACCCTCACAGCAATCCTCTTTCTCTTTCTCTCCATCCCTATCCTCCATTTCCACCACTCCTCTCTCAGGGAGCTAATAGCCTCCTCCTTTGTTCTTGGAGAACAGCGGGTAACAATGGCGGAGTGGGGCTTGTCGTTGTGGCAACAGGCAGGAGACAAGAGGAAGGAGGGAGGGAGAGAGACAAAGAAGAAAGGCAGGGAGAGAAAGAGCAGGCACAGAGGGGATGCTGGTTGTTAGCTGGGCGGCAGGGAAGCGAGCGCTGGCTAATTACACTCGTTTCTATGCACACCGTAATTAAACTCTGATGCACACACATACATGGGCCAAGCTCAGAATATCCTCCGCCAACCACACAGACACACACTTTCTCAGCAACATCAGAGAGAAAGTGCAAGAGAAAGGAGGAGGTGGCAGAGAGGCTGGAAGAGGGAGAAAAAAAATGACAAGACTAAGGCTGTTTTAATTCACTGCTACTGTTCTTTCATGCAACAAAGAAAAACTTCATTAAACTTCGTCAATCTTTATTGACTATTCAAACCATAAAAGTTGACAAGGTACCAGAAGGCTTAGTAGGCTCGCCACGCCCACCGTCTCCGTCTGAATCTAACTCGCCACACAGCAACTCATTTCTCCTTTCTCAGTTGTGCTTCTACTGCTCTGCATCTGCCATCAGTTCATCTTTATCCATTTAATCAGCTCATATGGAGTTAACTCTCCACAGGATGATCTTCCTCTCCAGAGACAAGGAGCTTTAACTCCATGTAAATTAACAAAGTGGGTATGGGGGGGAGGGCGTTGGAGAGATCATTATGGGAAAGAGGAAAAAGCAAGAGGGGCAAGAAATAGAATAGGGTGGGGAGGGAGGGGCACTTGCATCCAGGTCACACCAGCCTGTAGGGTAAAACTTATCCCAAGTCTGTGGTACAACTCTACACCCCTCCATCCATGGCCTAACATGCTTTTCCATTAACACACAACTCGAAGAAACATGTGTTCCACGCCGTCTGCCCGCACGTTTTATTATTAATGTAGTTTAATGCTCGCCCTAAGTGTGTGCAAGCTTTAGTGTTGGAGGTTCATGTTAGCAAGAAAAAGCCACTGCATGACTTAAAAAAAAAAAAAAAAAAACAGCAGTAGCACTAGACACATTCAGCCTTCAGTGTTTAAAAGGAGGGGTGCAGGAGGCTTCATGTGTGCCCAAAGCGCTACCAAAAGCGCACATAGAAAGCAAAGCTTCACGCCACACAAATTCATACTGCCAATGAGGCAGATGAGGAGTGAAAGGAGTCACATTAAACAGGCAAACTTGTCCTGTTTCGCTTTCTTAGCCCGAATCCATTTTCATAATGCATTAAACCCACCACTGAGAAGACAGGGAGAAGAAGGGAGGGAGGAAAGTACATGGGGGGAAGCAGAGGGTTGCAGGCGCAGAGAAATGGCAAGAAACATTTGCAAAGTAATCTAAAGCCGGTGAATGTATAGCTGTGTGCACAAGATACGGAAGAACTAAGAAAGAAAAGAGCTTCTCTCCTGGCGAAAATATGGGAAGTAGAAGTGTGTGATAGACACCCAGACAGATTGGGGTGTTGGATGAAAGAAGACAGAAGGTACTGATAAAACAAGAAAAGATGACAGAGGGAGATGGGGGAGATGATATTGTCGCAAACTCTGATTGTATGTGTTCTGAATGCATGCAGGTTCTCATTACGCGTGCTTGTGTTTGTGTAGTTACAAACTGGCAAGGGGCAGAAGGTTTTCCGTTTCAGCACCAGCAGGCTGATGAGAGTTTGGGGCCAAACAGCCTTGAGGCAGAGCTGGCCTTGTTACTCAGTATTTTTTATTTTCTCCCCCTTTTTGGAGACTCCCACTCTCACACACATAAAATTTGAAATTTACTCCAATAGTGCTTCAGTAGCCCTAACAAGCTGCATAACACATAAAAATGGTTTAGTTGAAATATTTAAAATGAACATGCACTTATTTCATTAATTATTTATGGAAATTAAAATTTAAATACATCATGATGTCCAACAGTAAAATGCTTTACTGGTTGACATTTGCAATTTGAAAATTACATCTCGATTGCATAAAATGTCACATTTTACTTCAGAACCTTGCGACCTTTGCAAAATTATTTCACCAGGTTGTGTTCCTACAAATTCAAAGATTAATAGATTCCTTCTTGAAATATGATCTGATTCCATGTATATCAGGTGCCCACTGGGATTATGACCCCAAAACTAATTCCCATGTTATTACAGCTAAAGCCTTGGTAACACCAGTGTAACAAGACACGGGGTTCAGATAACTTTTTGATTAAGACAGAATTTGTTTTAACTATGTAAGATTTTAAACTTGCATGAACTTTGCTGTTCATCACAGGTAACACTATGCATGCCGTTTGACTGCACGAATAAGAATATTAATAGTCTCTGCTTCTATGATGTAGCGAGAGGCTCAGTTTTGTGCCAGTAATGGTCTGTTTTCTCTCTCCATGGTGGGATATCAGACAAGCTCTAATATGCAATAAATATCATGGGGTGTTGCAGCCAGCTCACTATTATACAAAGACAACTTACAAAAGGAAAACAAATGTGACAAAAACAAGTAGGTTTCTTGTAGAGGATGACAAATGTGGCACATTCGATGCGATCAAATAAATATCAAAAACCCCTGAATCAAATCTAATGGGATCAGTTTCAACAAGTGATCTTGTTCTTCATGGCTGGGCGACTGAGAGTTAAGGAAGCAGTTATATCGAGGATGAGACATCCAAAAGCCCATCTCCTCAAAGTCATTGGTGTGAAGGCTATCTCACACTCACCTGCCAGTGACAGTGCTGCCAATAGTGCCAGAGGGAACAAGTGAGATGGAAAGTGGCAGACAGCGAAGAGATGACAAAAAAAAATAAAAATCATGGTTCAAGAATAGAGACAAAGAGCGAGCAAAACCTGGGGCATGAAAATACAGGTGTAATAGAGAACAGGATGACTGACATCTAGTCAGCTACTGTCTTTGTGTGCTTGAATGTTTGTTCTCGGGGAAATTTGGAGATGCAGCATTCAACGTTCGTAATTAAAAATGACTAATGACTGACAGCGGCACAGTGTGTGCTAAAAAATTAAACAGGCATTAATAAAGCAACATCATTACTGTCTGCCTCAGGAAACACAAACCTCATGAGTACTTGCAGGGAGGCGCACAGAAAATTACAGTCCAGGAAACACTCAGGCAGATATAACTAATCCTAATCACTCATATTGCACTTTTCCTATTTTACACTCTTTATTTGCTCCCTTCCGCTGCCTCTTATTACCTTTCATCAAACAAATCTATATTTACAATTACTGACTAAAATCACTCCAGTACAGTGCGATAAACAGTTTAAAAAGTACTTACAACCCTTAAACTTTTTTACACTTTCGATGTAGAACTATTTTACATTACTGGAAATTCACATTTTTAGACCAACATAAAGGCAGATATAATTCAGACACGAAAGGAAAAGGATGTATGGTTTATCAAAATCTACATCATACACTTCTGAAAAGTATGGTGTGCATTTGCATTTAGTCCTCTCAATTTACTGTGGAACCACATTTATGAAATTGCAGCTGCAAGTCTGTGTGAATCGCTATCCGATTCACACGTCTAGAAATCAATATCTGTGCCCATTTCTCTCTGCAAAATGGGTCAAGCTCAATCGAATTTGACCAAGAGCACGTATGATTAGAAATGTAAGTTCTCAAGCCGATGTAGATTTGGACTTGAAATAGGCCAAACTATTTCAAGTCCATGTAAAAGGCATTAGGTAAAATTTAATGGTGTGAAGGGTACCTTCACACCATATGTAGATAGCAAAGATGGAAATGGATCTTTTCAGCAAAGGTGGACATGTCCTTTTGTTCTGTATTTTGCAGAATAAAAGGTTTTATTCTAGAATCTCCACACCATATTGCTACCACCACCACATTTCCTTGAATGTTCAGGGTGATGTGTATTTAGTTTTCACCCATTCAATGTTTTGCACAAAAGCAACAGTTGAATTTTGTGTCATCTGACACCTGAACACCTTCAAGATGTTTGGTCAGTTCCCAACTGTATTTACAATGAACTGCAAACAGAACTTATGATGATTTTCTTTTAACAAACTGTTCCATCAAACATTTTCATAAAGCTTAAATATATTGGATACACAAGTAATATTTGTCATTTAAACAGACACCACACCTTACCTGTGGATGTCAGCAACTTTCTTAGAGTTAGTTCTAAACTCTTTGATTCCTCTCCAATTAATGTTCTCTCCTTACTTAAGAGTACTGATTATGTTCAATGACCATTTCAAGGAAAGATTGTAGGTATGCCATATTTTCTGTTGGATGATAGATGGAAAGGTCCTCAGATTTTTGGAATGCTTAATAACCTAACTGTATCCTATCTGGTGTGTTTTGTGCACTAATGTCCAGCAACAACCTCCTGAGGTCCTCAGAGTTCAGCTAGATTTAGAATAAACTACAAACATGTGAACTCTGTTTATTTCTGAAGCCAACTGTTTGCACTGCATTTTATTTAGAGGCATCAAAGTGAATGAGGCTGCTTTTCTTTTCAGACACCATGTATTGTTTTCCTTCCACTCGACACTTATGTACCAGCTTGTTGTACATTAAATCCCAACAAAACAAAGTCAGATTTGTGTTTGCAACATGAAAGCATTTCATCAAGTTCAAGAAATATGAATCTTTTCATAAGGTACATTTGAAAGGTTGGAGAAGGTAAAACGAAGTATAAAAGCATCGTCTCAAAAACAAAGGTCAGCTACTCAACTCCGAGCTACTTCATACAGCAAAGAGATGGAGACTTGAGTAAAGCCACTGTAAGTACCGCACCTCCCCAGTCGCATTTCCTCACCATTGAAAAAGAAAATGGGATGCCAGACACAAAATGGACATCCAGAGAGGCAACACCTGAATGCTGCAGCCTTCTTGAAAGAGAAGCAAAGCTATAGAAATCTCTCTCATCTTTTTCTCTTTGACAAAGCCAGGCTGGGAGGATGAAAGGCCTGAATAAAAGCCTACACAGGACCTTTAAAGACCAGATAATGGTGCGGCAGAACACAGAAAGATGTAGCAGGAAACAGAGGTGAGGAAAAAAAGTAAAAATGTATTTCATGGATATTCAAAGAACATAAGATACAAAAAAAAAAAACTACTGCTCATATTGAGGAAAGAAATATGAGCAACAAGAAGTAGGGAGATTGAAAAGAAAGTAAGAGGAAAAAGTAAAATAAAAAAAGTTTCTATTTTAGCTCTAAATAATATGTGGCCTATATACAGATTCTGTGTGTTTGCGTGTGTGTGTGTGTGTGTGTGTGTATGTATGTGAATGGATCACGCATCGATAACATTACACTCCTTAATTCCTAATTAATCCTCCTAAACTGGATTATTGCACAGAGCATGACAAGACCAGAATTCAACTCTTTGCCCTGATGACTGTGTGTGTGTGTGTGTGTGTGTGTGTGTGTGTGTAGGGGTGTGGGGGGAGGAGTCATTTTGCTGTTTTTCAGTTTGAGGTCTCATAAGGCCTGCATGTCCTCAGTTACATGATGTTAGGAAATGAAGCTGACAGTGTCTGTGGTCCCCTATGACACAACTGCAGACATACCCATCTTTTCACGCACATACAAGCGATACGTCTAGTGCACACACAAATACACAAATGAAGGTCCCTAGATCATAGGTCTAGAAATGCTTCTGAATCACTGCTGAAAGTGGCAAGGATTTCCAGCTTGAGTTTACAGACTTAAAG